CAGCTCTACAGAGAGTGGGAATCCTGGCTTCTAGATCTTCAAAATTTGTCAAAGGTAAGAATCCAACGATGCATGTTACCTGAAAACTTGGACATCACACAGTGTGATTTACATCATTTTTCAGATGTATGTATGTAAATAATGATGCCAAAAGATTTCATGTGTTTGTGGCAAACAGGATTCAAAGAATAAAGTCACTCACAGACCCACATCAGTGGCATCATGTACCATCTGAGAATAATCCTGCAGACCACGCATCAAGAGGACTAAGTGTCCAACAGCTACTAAAGTCTGACTGGTTTAAAGGACCAGAGTTTTTGTGGCAAAGTAAGCTACCCATTGAAACTGACAAGATTATTGAAGTTATTTCAAATGACCCAGAGCTGAAAACAGTACATGTGCTCAAAACAGAAGTACAAGAAAAGAGAACAGTACTTGATCGTCTCAACAAATTTTCAGACTGGAAAAGAGCTGTTAAAGCTATTGCTCGTCTAAGGAAATTTGTGAAAGATTTTAAAGGAGATATACAAACAAAAGGTGGAAACACATGTGTTAAGGACAGACGAGAAGCAGAACTGTTCATAATAGAACTTGCACAAGAAAACACCTTCAGCAAGGAAATCAAGGATTTAACCCAAGGAAAGGACATTCAACTCAAGGATAAGACACACAGGCTGTATAGCTTGAACCCATTCGTTGATGAGCAAGGAGTTCTTAGGGTGGGAGGARGTTTAACAAGAGCAAGTCTGCACCCACATGTCAAACATCCTGCTATTATCCCCAAATCAAGTCATGTGTCGTCTTTACTGATTAAACACTTCCATGAAAAGGTGCAGCATCAAGGAAGAGGAATTACTGTCAWCGAGCTGCGTTCCAATGGACTGTGGATCACAGGATGCAGCAGTGSAGTTGCTTCACACATCTACAAGTGCACAACCTGCATAAAGTACAGGAGGCATACCCAAGATCAACAGATGTCAGATCTACCAGAGGACAGAATGGAAACAACACCCCCATTCTCTTACTGTGGTGTTGACTGTTTTGGACCTTTTTATGTAAAAGAAGGTAGAAAAGAACTCAAAAGGTATGGTCTTTTGTTTACATGTATGTGTTCCAGGGCAATACATATTGAAATGTTAGATGACCTTACTACTGATGCTTTTATTAATGCATTGCYTTGTTTTATTTCTATTCGTGGACATGTAAGACAAATCAGGTGTGACCAAGGGACTAATTTTGTGGGTGCTAAAGGAGAGTTTTTGAATGCACTAAAGGACTGTGACAAAGAACAGTTGAAACAATATGGATGTGAGTTTGTTCTGAACACTCCATCCTCAAGCCATATGGGAGGTGTTTGGGAGAGGCAGATTAGGACCATTAGAAGCGTTTTAACTGCTATTCTGGATAAAACTTCTAAGAGACTTGATACMTCTTCCCTCAGAACGTTTCTGTATGAGGTGATGGCTATTGTGAATAGCAGGCCGTTAACAGTAGAAAACCTAAGTGATCCAAGTTCAGAGCCTCTTACGCCAAATCATATTCTCATGATGAAGTCCAGTGTTAWTCTGCCCCCTCCTGGTGAATTTGTGAGCCAGGATTTGTACCTGAGAAAGAGATGGCGCCAAGTTCAGTTTTTAGCCAATGAATTCTGGACAAGYTGGAAGAAAGAATATCTTCTTAATCTTCAATAGAGACAAATCTGGCAAAGGAACAAAAGGAATGCAAAGGTAAATGACATTGTTATTCTTCAAGAGGGCAATTCTCCAAGGAAAAAGTGGAAACTGGCAAGAGTAACAGAGGTATATCCAAGCGCAGATGGAAGGATCAGGAAGGTGAAGCTGTTGCTAAGGGACTCGACCTTGGATACGAATGGAAAAAGGACTGTCAAGCCAGTGTATCTTGATAGACCAGTTCATAAAACTGTGTTGTTACTGGAAGCAGAGTAAATGCTAAAATGTAAATATATTTCTATTGTAATGTTATGTGTTTGAAGTGAAATCACCATAGGTTAGTGATTTGGTGGGAGTTTTACTGCCATAGTTTTAGTTTTAGTTTTAG